CAGATGAGGTTCAATGCGCTTGCGATCAAGAGGTTGAAGGAGATTCAATGTTACCGTGGGGTTAGGCACATCCAAGGATTGCCATGTCGGGGACAGAGAACAAAGAACAATTGCAGGACTCTTCAGGGAAGAAAATTGCAATTGCTGGGAAGAAGAAAGTTTCCAAGTAATCATGTTCTTGATTTCCTTCTTCTTCTGTAATACTCTATTTTTTTGTTTGTCTAGTTTATCTGTTTTAAAATGTGATTTGTAATCGCGTTGGGTTTAAATAGAACATTGATTAATATATTAATTAGAAAACCTACGTATCATCCATCACTTGTTCAAAACAGAAACAAATCTGAAAAGGTCAAAGCAAAAGATATTGCTGATCAATGCAATGAGCTGATAAAAGGCAAGAGAGAATACTCCTCAGGGACCGTAAGTACATGATCAATCCATTCAATCTGACCCCAAACTTCACCATGGTGGCGTTTTTCGAGCAAAATAACAGCACACCAAATTTCCGAGGTAGAACCAAGAGGAAACCTTGCAGGACCAACCCAGAAGATACAGAGTTTTCCACCATAATTACCTATTTCAGTATCGATTTTACCATACTGATTAAGTTCTCTCAAACCTTTGACCAATCTCCACCCTTCACACTCTGTGTCATATCTGCACCAGCATTTGTTATCATGATAAGAGTACACTACTTTGTCTATCTCACATGCACTCTCACTCAATTTTTCGTCACAAACTTCCCACCTAGGTAAACAAAGTTCTTCTTCTTGCCCCTCACGTAAACTTTTCCTCGCCCAATTTGGATCTTTTTAACTGGAGAGAAGCGGAGGTCAGCGCCAGGATCGGGTAAAGGTTCCCAAGTTTGAGTTCTTGTGTCGAAAACCTCAGCCCAATACGTAGATTCATCTGCTTCACACCCTCCCATTACATATAGTTTCCCACCGAAGGAACACATAAGGGGATTCTTACGCGACAGGGTCATGCTAGGGGCTTTGTGCCGTTTGCCAACACGGTTATTATAGACCCGCACGTCGGTCGAGGAAGAGCAAGTGTTTTGTCCACCGATTTCGTATGTATCTGAACCAACACTTATGTAGCGTCCTGGTACGCGGGGAGAATAAGAAGAGGGCACTGGTACGAGCCAGTTCCCGGTAGACTTGACTTTGCTCGTGGAATAGGGTAGCGTTTGTTGATCATCCGGTTTTATCCAGAGATTGAACCATCTAAGATCCAATCCTTGTGTGGGCGGTTGAAGGCAGACATAAACACAACGTTCTAGGGTTCGAAGGTGTACTCGTTCCTTGTAGAGCTCGTTGGAGAGGATGATCGAGCGGAAGCTCTTGGAGACAAGCGAGATTGTTGGGTAGTATGACTTGGAGATACGAGCCAAGATACCCAAAACTAGGTCCGTTGGTAATGACGAAAACAAGGACGGAGTGTTTGAGTCGTTCGGTGGTTCCATATGGTGGATTTTGTGACTAACAAAAGAAAGAATCGAAATTTAAATAACAAGTTGGACAAAATCTCAATTATAGAATTCTAAAGGTTGTTTGTTAGTAGGATGATCTATTTGCTCCTAAAACTTCGTTATTTATAGTTTAATAGTTAACATATTTCTTAAAAGCTAAAATAAGGAAAAACTATATATTTCCTTTTATTCTTTTTTGAATTAAATATAAAATTTATTCAAAACGTTTTTACAACAAATGTAGCCGGTTTAGAAGGGAGAACTGAAAGTTTTTAAGCTAGCTTAAACATAGAGTATTGAATCGTATTTATCGTGTTCCAAACCAAATCTCTATCATGTCTTCGTATCGTTTATCTCCCATCTCATGAATAGAAAAATATGATTCCGAATTTGATGAATTGTGTAAGTTGAGACGATGTCTTGGAGGATTCTCCATATCTACGATTATTTCACTCTCACCTAGGGGTGGGCATTTGGAGG